TTCAAACGTTTTTGGACAGTTGGTTCATTCTCTATTAAGTTAAAAGCTGCCTCAAGTGATAATTTATCTGTTTCGTACTTGGGTATTCTAATCTTTGTACAGAATGCACCATTTATCTAATAATGTAGTATTAATAATATATTGATATGAAATTATTTATAGTATTAAAGTATTTTGATTTCCAAGAATTACGTAGTTATCATATGTGTAATAAATAATATAATATAAATTTATATAAATAAAACAATAAATATTTTAAACACTTTGTACTTACTCTGACTTCCACTGTCATTTTATAATTTATATCTATCTCTGGCCATTTTTGTTCCATAACATCCTTATTTAATTCTATTTCATTCTTATCCATCAGATGATGTTTTGCCGTAGAAAATGCGGACCACAATTCCGAAGCAAAATGTGGTGCAAATGATGCAAGCATTATAATTTGGACTGCTAATGCACGTTCATACTCACGACTTTTTTTCATGCATTCTATAGAAACTTTGCGTATACTTAATATTAAAAATAAAAGATGGTTAATATATCAACACAATTGTCGATATACAACAAAAATTATAATATGTACCTATTTGTAAGTCCTTGCAATCTTGATATTGCAATACTTAATTGTTGAGATCCAATTATATTAAAAGTTACAGACTTTAAAAAATAATTTCGGCTATCAAACATGTATTCATCATCTTGTGCAAATTTAGGATCAGTAGGTTGTGTTTGGAGCTCTTCTAAGGTTACGTTATTGCGATAGTCCGTAAAAGTTTTCACTGTTTTCCATAAGCGACTTTGCCAATTTAATATTCCCGGTATAGCTAAATTTTTATTACTAATATATACATTACTCGATATATGTCATGATACTTACTTAAAATTATTATAAAACTTACTGTCATGATTACAACACTTATCCGAAGTTGGTGTCTGATCAGCTAATATAAATAGTCTAGTTGTGTCAATTCCATATTTCTCTACAAATACAAGAGGATCAATGCCATTATACTTTGATTTAGACATTTTGTCCCATGAAACAATGACTGGTTCTTTGGTACTCTTTTCTACATATTCTCCTGCATTTTCTTCTACTTCATCTGTTTTCAAGTATTTTTGTGTTTTCTTTACCTGATATGTTTTCCCAAGTACCATACCCTGCACAAGCAATTGTTTAAATGGTTCCATAGTGGGTAAAAGTCCTTCTGAATGTAGAAAATGACTTATAAATCTAGCATAATATAAATGTAGTACAGCTGAAATTGTATTATTAAATAAATAAATTATTAAATATATACATTTTATAACTGCAAAGAATTTGAATATTAGATATTTACCATGTTCTTTTCCACCTACATACAGATCGACAGGAAATATTTCTTTCACTTTATTAGTAGCAAACATTTCTTTCATATTTTGTGGATCAATGTACCTTAAATAATACCACGAACTATCTACAAATGTATCCATTGTATCTGATTCTCTAACTGCTTCACCTCCACATTTTGGGCAAGAAGTATTTAACCAATCCTTAATTTCGCGTAATATAGATTTTTTATTTGAAGATGAAAATGCTACATTTGGTAATACTACAGGAAGTTTATCACGTGATACTGGTTGGATGCCACAATTTGAGCAGTAAATAATTGGAATTGGTGTACCCCAATATCTCTGTCTAGATATTAACCAATCTTGTAATCTTGAACCAACAGGATATCCACCAATTTTCCACTTTCTTGCTTTGGATAATATTTCTAATCTTTTCTTTTGTTGTTCCTCATAACTTCTTATTGAATGCCGCGTAAATTCAAGTCCAATTAGTTCAGAAAATTGATAATCATCCACTGAGGCAGAAGGTATACCAAGATAAGTATCTCTAAAATTTGGAAATGTAATTTTATCTGTTACAAATATTGGTAATTCATTTCCATTGAATGGATTTACTACTTTAGCATCTATGATTTGAATTCCTTCTACCACATCTTTACAATATTCTGATCTATTTAATAAGCTCTTTGGAGATACTGCAATAAACTTTGCATATTCGATGAATTCTGGATGATTAGTCCAAACATTTATTGTTTTGGGATAATTTGGAATATTTCCTATCAAGTGTAATTCAAAACTAGTACCATTACAATCACCTATCCAATTTTGTTGGATTGTTTTAATATCCTTCCATTCTTTCAATGTTGGATCATTTAAACCTTCAAATAATGATCTGACATAAAATAAATTAGTTAAATATTATTTCTAATTTTATTAAGGATTGCTAAATTCTAATATACTTACTTAGCAAATGGTATAGTTCTAATAAACCACTGATTTAATAACCTCTTCTCTACTTTAGCACCTGATCTCCAAGAGCAATTATTTGTATCAATTTGTTCCTCTGCTAATACAGTTTCATCAATAGGATCCCAATTAACAAATGATTCTTTCCTATAAACTAGATCTCTATCAAAAAGTTTTAAAAATAATTCTTGCGTCCACTTATAATATTCAGGATCACATGTAGCAAATTCTCTATTCCAATCAAAAGAATAATTCAACAAATTTAATTGATTTCTCATTGTTTTAATGTTATGATACGTCCACACAACTGGATCAAGTTTTTTTTCAAATGCAGCATTTTCAGCAGGTAACCCAAATGCATCCCAACCAATTGGATGAAGAACATTATATCCTAAAACGAAAGAAAATATGAAAATGAAAAATTTTCTAAATATATCAAAAACAAGATTGTAATTACATTTTAATTATATTTTAATTACATTCTTTAATGTATTTGATTAATGTATTGTTCGATTCCATTTTTTTCAAATTTTTAGCCAAATCTTTATATAGAAAAAATATCAAA